CATTTTCTAATCTCTCCCAACCCAGGCTAAGTCAGGCTCCCCTCTTTTCAACTTTCCCATATTTGTCCCAGCTATACTATCACGGCCAGTTTTGTTGGTCTCCTGATCAAGCACATCTCACAGGGTCTTCTACTTAGGCCCAAGACAGCTCCTAACTCTCTTCTCTAGGCACATCCCAGATATACAAACTATTTTCCTCTCTTCTTGGCTTCCACACCCCACAACAGCCTTTGAGGTCCCCTGTCACTAGATCTTGGTTGAACAGGGGCACAGTCACCCCAGCATCTCCCATTTTTGCTAGCCCCAAGAATAATAATATTTAAGTTCCCTTCTATTCATTGGCTTTGCTGCTGATCACTACTAGGAAACAGAGAAAGAATAAGAAAAATAATTATGTGAGAGAAGAAATAAGGTTACTGTGACTGCTGGACCACTTTCCACTCCCTTCTAAGACAGTAAATGGAAACCTTAACAGACCCTCATCTAGTGCTTTTATTTCTTGATTTTTGAGCTAACAAAACACCTTGTCCTTTGAGGCAAATCTTTTATATCCTATTTTTCAGTGGCTACTCTTCCCAACTTGAAGCTGGATTTGAGCCAAGATACAACTCAGACTGAAAAATCAGTGCTCCATAAACTCAGGCAGACAATTAGCATCTCTGAGGATATCCAGACTGAGTGGCACCTTAGTTACCAAGCTTCTGGCCAGGTATTTCCTCACATTTTCTGAACTAGACCAATTCCTTAGAAACTTGGTCCAATTCATCTTTATACCTCCAGTATGAGACAATGGCATAAAACAAACCAGTTTAATGAATGGATTTCTACAGTCAAAGTGATGAGTGCCAAACAAGTGGTTCAGACAATAGTTAAGAATGGGCCAAAAGACTGATAGAGAATAAAAAGCAAATGATATAGAACAGGGACAAAATCAAGTATGGCATCTAGATCTGAAAACCAAGTTTATTACAGTTGGGACTGCAGTTCTAGTTAAAGCATCTTAGGGTTTTACATGTCAATAGGCGGGCCTTCCCCTCCTCCCAAAAGCAATTACAATCTTCAGTTACCTTTAGAAAAGCAGAATCCACACACTAAAGGAGGTGAGTGGTCCTCTTTAATCTGAGCCCACCAGATTACACTACTGTATTCATAATGTAATAGTTAATAATTATCCTTTGGCCAGGAACTCAATGAAAAAAATGTAAAATAAAAAACAAACAAAAAATAGTTAATAAATAGAAGTATTAAAATGACCCAAGTTCCTGAATCATAGAAGATAGTTAAAAAAAAAAAATCACCCAGGTTATTTTTTGTCAAGAGATACTTGAACCAAGGAAAACCACAAACCTGGGATGGCTCTTCCTGTTCTCTTGGGCAAGTTACTTAACCTTGGAGAGCCTCATTATCATTATCTGTAAAAGGAAGTAACAAGATCCATCCACTTCACAGAGTTGTTAGAAAGAGAAGAAATAACATATGAAAAGAACCTAGTAAGGCTGCTTGTGGAAGCCCATTACTACCATTCTAACTGCAGAACCCCAAACAGTTTGGGTAGGACTGAGCTAGATGACCCATAAAGCATCTTCTTAGGATGAAATCTGATTTGCACAGATCAGTGGGGGAAGGGATAAGGGTTCCAGAGAGCTCCACTGAGGCAGGATTTGGATCTACAGTTAGGTGTTGCGGGGTTTATGGTGGAGATGGGGGAGAGGGTGGAGGTGGGAAAAGAGGCTCATACAGAGATGTGCTCAACTTAAGCAGCAGGATGTAGAAGGGGTCTGCCAAAGATTTTTCTGAAGGAGCAGAGACCTTTCAGCAACCTGAAAACATTCCTGAGCTGCCTGGAGTGTTGCAAATCCAGTACCCCTTGAATTTGCACACCAGCACTCACTGTACTGGTAAAACCCCAATTTCCCATAAGTAGCACCAGGTCACAACCTAAACTAATAGAAATGCTACTTTACATTTATATCTCACTATTTAGCAATTTGCACAAGTGCCTTGAAGCACTGCCAAGTGTAATTTGATCCTTAGCACACCCCGGTGCAGCAGCAGGGTACTATCCACTAATGTGGTCTGGACAACAGTGGCTCCGAGACTAGGTAACTTTTCTGCTGTGAAATAAGGAGTAACTGGTGGGTCTAGGACTAGAAAGCCAGGTCTTCCGATGAGAAGACAGATTTACTAGACCACTAGAAAAGAGGTAAGAACATAAGACATCTTAAGACACAATCCTTGGAGGGAAATAAGCAAGGATACGTTTGCATTTCCTTTCTGTAACTCCAAACTGTGATGGTGAAAGTAGGAATGAGAGTGGGTACTTATAGAGTGCAAGAGGAGGCAACGACAAAGTACACCTAGCCTTTGTCGAGTGTGATGGAAGACTGGAACAGGAGGAGGAAAAAGGACAGGAGGAAGAGTTTCAGGAAGATAATGAGAATTCCGCAACTGAGCCCTCTACTGTGCTGAGCGCAGCAGCCACATCACCTCATTGCATCTTCACAACTCTTAAGACACAGGCTGTTACCGTCCCCACTATGCAGATGAGAAAACTGAGGCTCTGAGGAGGAGAGGTGACCTGCCCAAGTCACAGAAAATGTGTGACGAAAGTTGAATTCAGAGGTAGGGCGGCAAGGCTGCAGAAACAACCAAACCGCTGAGGTCTCCACCCCTCCACGTCGCCGGCAACCCGCACCCATAGGGGTGGGGCGTCCAAAAATGTCCTCCAAGCGGCACCGCACTCCTCACCCGGAACCCGCGCTCCGCCCTCGGTCAGGACCCCCCTGCGGTCTCGGGGACCCCTGCAACCCATTGCTCCCCAGGCCCCTCCTCCCCGCGGCCCAGGCCAGGTCCGGCCGCCCCTCGAGCCCAGGAGGGAGGCCGGTACCGCAGTTCGCGCCGCCCTGGCCTCAACGGGGGCAGGCGCGAAGAAACGGCTGGGGGAAGGGGTCCCCGGGGGCCAGCCACGCGCCACTCACGCGTCGAACTTGTTGTTCATCCTCTCGCTGCCGCTGTCTCCACAACCTCACGGAGTGACTTCCGCTCCACCGGGTCGCTCCGCCTTGGGTCCGGTCACTTCCGGTTGCGCGGGGCGCTGCGGACGTCGGCGCGCATGCCCGGTGGGGGGCCGCTATCCCGGGACGCCAGCCCAGGGCGGCTGCGCAGAGGCCTGGTCTCTTGTAGCTGCGGGCCTCGGCCCTGTCGGGGTTCCTCGTCCCTGCGGGTCGCCCGCCGCCCAAGCGAGCGCGTCTCGGCCCCTCCCGCAGCGGCTCGGAAAACAAGTCAGCTCCACGTCGTTGACAGCGCGGGCTCTGGACTCGCTGCTTGGTAAAAACCCCGACTCCACCTCCAGTGCTCGCGGCACCCTCCGGTATCTCTCTCAACCTCTTCGAGGCTCTTTCCTCTCTGGCAGCGGCGCTACTATGCTGTAGTACTGGCATACGTCGTTTTATTGCTTCGCAGACACTGCGTTTTTTACAAATGGAAGGTTTGTGGCAACCGTGAGTGGAGCAAGTCTATTGGCACCATTTTTCCAACAGCTTGTAACACCTGTGTCTGTGTCACATTTTGGTAATTCTAGAAATATTTCAAACTTTTTCATTATTTTTATATCTATTATGGTGATCTGTGATCAGTGATCTTTTCTGTTACTATTATAATTGTTTGGGGGCGCCCAAAGTACACCCATATAAGACAGTGAACTTAAGCCGTAAACGTTTTGTGTTTTCTGACCATTCCCCTGAAGGACCATTCCCCATTCCTCTTCCTCTCCTGGGCCTCCCTGTTCTCTGAGACACAACAATATTGATATTAGGCCAATTAATAATCCTACAATGGCCTCTAAGTGTTCAAGTGAAAGGAAGAGTCGCACCTCTCTCACTTTAAGTCAAAAGCTAGAAATGATTAAGCTCAGTGAGGAAGGCATGTCGAAAGCTGAGATAGGCCGAAAGCTAGGACTCTTGCGCCAAACAGTCAGTCAAGTTGTGAATGCAAAAGAAAAGTTCTTGAAGGAAATTAATAGTGCTACTCCAATGAACACACGCATGATAAGAAAGCGAAACAGCCTTATTGCTGATATGGAGAAAGTTTTAGTGGTCTGGATAGAAGACCAAACCAGCCACAACATTACCTTAAGCCAAAGCCTAATCCAAAGCAAGGCCCTAACTCTCTTCAATTCTATGAAGGCTGAGAGGGGTGAGGAAGCTGCAGAAGAAAAGTTTGAAGCTAGCAGAGGTTGGTTCATGAGGTTTAAGGAAAGAAGCCGTTTCCATGACATGAAAGTGCACGGTGAAGCTGTAACTGATGTAGAAGTTGCAGCAAGTTATCCAGAAGCTCTGGCTAAGATCATTGATGAAGGTGGCTACACTAAACAACAGATTTTCAATGTAGACGAAACAGCCTTCTATTGGAAGAAGATGCCATCTAAGACTTTCATAGCTAGAGGGGAGAAGTCAATGCCTGGCTTCAAAGCTTCAAAGGATAAGCTGACTCTCTTGTTAGGGGCTAATGCAGCTGGTGACTTTAAGTTGAAGCCAATGATCATTTACCATTCTGAAAATCCTAGAGCCCTTAAGAATTATGCTAAATCTACTCTGCCTGTGCTCTATAAGTGGAACAACAAAGCCCGGATGACAGCACATCTGTTTACAGCATGGTTCACTGAATATTTTAAGCCCACTGTTGAGACCTACTGCTCAGAAAAAAAAATTCCTTTCAAAATATTACTGCTCATTGACAATGCACCTAGTCACCCAATAGCTCTGATGGAGATGTACAAGGAGATTAATGTTGTTTTCATGCCTGCCAACACAACATCCATTCTGCAGCCCATGGATCAAGGAGTGATTTCAACTTTCAAGTCTTATTATTTAAGAAATACATTTCATAAGGCTATAGCTGCCATGGATAATGATTCCTCGGATGGATCTGGGCAAAGTAAATTGAAAACCTTCTGGAAAGGATTCACCATTCTAGATGCAATTAAGAATATTCGTGATTCATGGGAGGAGGTCAAAATGTCAACATTAACTGGAGTTTGGAAGAAGTTGATTCCAACCCTCATGGATGACTTTGAGGGATTTAAGACTTCAGTGGAGGAAGTATCTGAGGATGTGGTGGAAATAGCAAGAGAATTAGAAGTAGAGCCTGAAGACATGACTGACTTGCTGCAATCTCATGATAGAACTTTAACACATGAAGAGTTGCTTCTTATGGATGAGCAAAGAAAGTGGTTTCTTGAAATGGAATCTACTCCTGGTGAAGATTGTGTGAACATTGTTGAAAGGACAACAAAGGAATTAGAATATTACATAAATTTAGTTGATAAAGCAGCGGCAGGGTTTGAGAGGATTGACTCCAATTTTGAAAGAAGTTCTGCTGTGGGTAAAATGCTATCGAACAGCATTGCATGTTACAGAGAAATATTTCGTGAAAGGAAGAGTCAGTCAATGCAGCAAACTTCGTTGTTATCTCGTTTTAAGAAATTGCCACAGCCACCCCAACCTTCAGCGGCCACCACCCTGATCAGTGAACAGCCATCAACATCGAGGCAAGACCCTCCACCAGCAAAAAGATTACGACTCGCTGAAGCCTCAGATGATTACTAACTTTGTTATTTTTTAGCAATGAAGTATTTTTTTATTAAGGTATGTACCTTGTTTTTTTAAGACATTATGCTATTGCACATATACACTATACTACAGTATAGTGTAAATATAACTTTTATAAAAAATTCATGTGACCTGCTTCATTGTGGTGGTCTGGAACCAAATCTGCATTATTTCCAAAGTTTGCCTGAGCTATGTGAGTTCCATGAGACAGTGTCGGGTTCGAGACACAGTAACTCACAGTAATGGTAGCTAGTGTTGATCTTTGAGTGTTCCAGGAGCTACAGAGCTAATGCCCTGCCCACTGAAGCTTTCAGAGAGGTTGAGAGACTTGTGCCAGGTGACAAAGGTAGTAAGAGGCTTACAGAAACCTGAGATGGTCCCACTGTCATCAAATCGTCTCTTGGATCAAAGACTCCCTTCCCACATAGGACCCTAGGGTCCCGACTGCTCTTTCTTTAAACACACTGCACATGTACACACACAGACACACTGGAGTAAATAAAATGAACCTGCAGGTGAATGAGCCCTAAAGCCAGCAATCCTGTATTTCTGGAGTCCCTTCCCCCAACGTGTGCCATTGTCGGGCCTTTATGTGACACTTTCACATTTTAGAATCTCTGTTATCTGTACCTTTGATCCTGCAGTAAGGGCAGATAGAAACTGGTATTTGTGCCCATATTTACAGGTGAGGAAATAGGCTCAAGGAGCATAAGTGACTGGCCCAAGGTTGCCCGTGGTCACCAGCAGACCTCAGGCTCCAGCTGTCTTCTCAGAGAAGGGCCTTGCCTCTCCCTTAGAAGGACTTCAGCTTGCTGTCTTATTTCCTGATAAGGAGGCCAGGGGAGACCAATTGAAGTCTCCCTGTTAATGCCAAGCCACCCTGCCTGGCTTGTCTTTGTCTTAGCTATCTTTGGGATCAGTGTAAATACCCTGGCCTTTGGGAAGAAGGGTCCATTTTTCAGGCCATCGAATCTTAGAGTGTCTGAGATTGGGTCAGAATTGGGAATTCTGGACTCCAAACCTTGTTTAAGCACCAGTCCCTCTTTCATATGAAATATGGGGGAGTAGTGAACCCTGTTTCTCCATAATGCTGAGAGGAGCTCTTATCTTAACAATAATTAAAGATAACAAAACTCAAATCTTTTGTAATCAATGGCAGAAAAAAATGCATGAGTGGAAAAACCATTGGTGCAGGTGGATACTAGGTGCTTATAGCACCCAGAAGGCAGGGGAGGGGGATGCCAGCTCGTGGCTGCTGGCTGCTATGCTGCACACCTCTCCTGACTGTCCTCCTTTAGGGAGACCTTGTCAGAGGGGAGCCAGTCCCACGCCTGAAGGGTTAGGACCTTGCCCAGTTAGTGGCATCATAGAAAACAGAGTCCTCAGGGCTTTGAAATGATGGGAGTTGATAAAGCTTTGCTGAAGGGAGGGAAGTTCACTAACAGGGAGTTGTTAGTGTCAGGATGAGCTAGGCAATACCACGTGGGTGCCAGTGACCTTAACGGTGTACCCTGACCACAGCCCATCCCCAGCCACTCCAGGACTCCAGCTCTGTCTCTTTATTTCTCCAGCTTTTCTCAGGGCTGTTTGACTCCCACAGTCGGGAAGGACACTTCCCAAAGAGCACAGTCATGACCTCCGCAGTATTACCCACACAGATGACTCCCACATGCCCAGCAGCAATTGGTTGGCTCACTCTGACGAGGGCAGGTAGGGACGAGGGTCTCCAGGGAATGGCAGGGTGGGCACCTGATTGTAGTGGGCCATGAGGAAGATGCCCATAGTGCCACAAAGGAAGAGTGAGAGCATGGCCAGGAAGCAGACACGATCCAGCACTCGGCCCACCAGGAACCACTCCTCATTTCCCTGATGGTGGGAAGCAGGATGTGGGATGCCCAGCAGTGGCACCAAGCCTGCCCTGATCCCTCCACCATCCTTGGGCTTCCAGCAGGCCTCCATTGTCCATTCCTTGGCCCTTCTTACCTACATCTAGGCCCCAATTGGTGGCTTCCTCCATGGTTCCCTGGCCCTGAGGTCCCACCCCCTCACTGTTCCAGGCCCCACTTTTTCCATCCCACTGCCCTGTCTTGGCCACTCCACTTATCCTGCCCCCATCACAAGTCCAAACCCAGGTACTTGCCCCACCCCACCCTGACAACAGCTTACGCTGTCAAAGTGACTCTGCTGGTGCCGGGCGCGGGCGATGAGGTTGCAGGCTTGCACACAGGCCTGGATGGCAGGGGCGGCCTGCTTCAGGCTGCCGCAGAACTCCTGGCTCTGCCCAGTCTCTGGGCCTTTCTCTGATGTTGAGAGAGGTACGGTTTGGGAGTAGAATAGAGGAGAAACGGTAGAGAAAGTGGCCTTTCTTAAGGGCTCCAGCCCCTCTCTCCCTGACCTAGACGCTTGCCCAATATTCATCTGCTGTTCCGGGCTCCCCATCTGGGGTCCCTGGGGGAGGAGTGTCTCCAGCCTCACAGCCGCTGTGTCTCACCTAGCTTCTCCAGCGCTGCCCTGGCCAGCCCGTGCCGCTGCCCCTGCTGGAAGAGGAGTTCACTGCGAGGCAGGCAGAGGGTCACCTCCTCTCCAGTTGTGATCGACCACCCGGAGGAAGAGCCATTCTGTAGCCGGGGCGGGGCGTCCCGCACAGCCGCTGGTGCCAGGAGGCGAACATGCATCCGCAGCAGCTGGGGCAAGAGCCGCAGGAACACCTGGAGAGAACAACACGCGGTTCTGGGCGGCTGAGCCTGGGCAACCAGGCTGAGAAGCTGCAGGCCGTCATGAAGGGCTCGAGTGCTGGGGCCCTGGAGGCAGCACGTTGGGGCAGTGACTTGGCCCTGCCACAGCTTGGCTGTTAGGTTCTGAGCACAGAGCCTGGGTCCCTGAACTTTTGTGCATGTCAGAATCACCGAGGTGCTTGTTACAAATACACAGATTCCTGTTCCCCGCCCCCTTGTTATTCTGGCCTGGTGTGGGCCTGGGAATCTGCATTAGTAACAAGCGCTCCAGATGACTACTGCAGATGGGCTGCAGTACACAGACTCTGGAATCAGACTGCCCCGGCAGAATCCTGCTGTCTCCACTTTCTAGCCGTGTGACCTTGGGCAAGCTACTTAACCTCTCTGTGCCTCAGTTTCCTCATCTGTAAAATGGAGATGATAATAATACCCACTTGATAGGGGGGTTATGAAGATTAAATAAGTTAATATTTGCTTTTTTTGTTTTCTTTTTTCCTTTGGAGACAGAGTCTTGCTGCGTCACCCAGGCTGGAGTACAGTGGTGTGATCACAGTTCTCTGTATCCTCAAACCCCTGGGCTCAAGTGATCCTCCTGCCTCAGCCTCCTGAGTAGGTGGGACTACGGGTGTGCATCACCACACCTGGCTAATTTATTTTTATTTTTGTAAATACAGGGTCTCACTGTTGCCCAGGCTGGTCTCAAACTCCTGGGCTCAAGCAATCCTCTCATCTTGGTCTCCCAGAGTGCTGGGATTACAGGTGTGAGCCACTGCGCCTGGCCAATAAGTTCATATTTGTAATATCCCTGGTACCTGGTAAGCACTCAGTGTTATTATTAATCCACTTTGGCACATGCTTCTAGATACACACGGAACAGGTTTGCAGCTGAACGCGGCAGGTGAGGAATACAGCCAGGGTTGGGCACACAGGGACGCACAAGGCAGCAGGATGCTGAAGTGGGCAAGGTGGGGCCTTGCCTTGCGGACCCCTCGGGCCATGGAGTGTGTGTGTGGGGACCGCAGGGACACGTTGAGCACCACCACTGCGTTCACGACGATCAGGATGGTCACCACCAGGAGGAAGGTCAGGTACCTGTTGGGGTGGGTGGGCAGGGGGCTGGGGTGGCCCTTAGGCACCTTTACCCAGATGCCACCCTCCCCTTAGCAGCTGTTCCCCTCAGGTGCCCTGGAGCGAGGATGGTGAGGTGGGGAGGGCAGGAGAGTGGTGCCCCAAGCAGGGAGGGGAGGAGGGCGTGCTGGCCTCACTTGCTGATGAGCGGCACTGCCTGGGACGTCTCAGGCACCTTCTTGGCCACAAGGAAGAGGAACACAGTCTGGGCCAGGAGCACATTGATGGCGACGGTACACTTCTGGCCCCCAGCTGCCAATGACCGAGAGGCCCTCAGGGCGGGTCTCCACCTCCCCCCTCCACAGAGGAACCCCCCCACCCCAGAAGGAGCCCACTGCCCCTGTCCTGGGTCGTGGTGCCACTATGCCCTGGCCTCCCAGGTGCCCCTGTGCTGCTGGACGGGGGCACGGCTCCCTCCCAGGCTCCAGGTACCCTTGGCAGGAAGGAAGTAGATGAGGATGGCGACAGAGGAGATGAGCACGCAGGGGGCAATGATGTTGATGACGTAGAAGAGGGGCTTGCGCTGGATCAGCAGGTAGAACACCACCTTCTGGGGGCCCGCCACCGCGTCCAGCAGCATCCTGGCCGGCCGGTGCCGGATGGCCCACTCCCCGTTCTCTGCGGGCGGGCGGGCGGTGTGGGGAGCGCGTGCTGGGCTGACCCCTGCAGCCCACCTGAGCCTGCTGCTGGGGCGGCCTGTACCCTAAGGAGCAGCAGCAGGGGGACACCCTCCACGGACAGAAGTGAGGTGGGAGACTGGATACTTGATCCCTTCCTCCAAAATGGGAGTCATTGTCACAGGGAATCCCAGACCTTTCTTGGACCATTTAAAACGCTGATTTCATGTTTACTGTGGTTTTCATTTTGACTTACATGGGATGGGCATGACCTTGGGCTGGGCTGGCCCTCACAGCAGGTGTGGGTTACCTGTGAAGGCCTCAGGGTCAATGAAAATCCACTCGATGGTCTGACCGTCCTCCTGGCTCAGCTGCAGGTCGATCTCGCTGGTGCTGTAGGTCTGGGACCTGCGGGTGCCAAGGGAGGGGACAGACATGAGTGTGGGGGGCCTGCTGGGAGGTCACAGATGAGATGTCGTCTAACGGCAACTATGGGCAGTTTCGCTTTGAAAACTGCAGCCCCACGCTTCTGAGTTGCCCGTAAAACCCCAGTGGTGAGATTCGGGGGCAAGGGGGCTCTCTGGGGTCAGGGATGTTTGCATTGAAGGGCTGGGAGGCTGCAGCTCAGTGTCCTGCCTGGCCAGCAGGCCCAGGGCCACCCTGCACTCACCCCCCCCCCATTGCTGCCAGGCCGTAGGGGTGACCGTTACAATGTGCATGCCACTGAAAGATGACCCTGGGTCCGTTTATTGAGGGGCATCTCCCTGCCAGGTTTCCCTGTAGAAAGACTGCTCTTCTAAAATATAGGAAAATCTTCACCCAGGCCCCCTTCCCACATTTATGCACAAGGAGGTTGGCCTGGAGGCCCCGGGTGCATGCAGGCTGCACCTGGATCCTGGCCAGGCCTGCCCCTACCGACAGCCCGCCTCCCCTGGGCCTGCAGTGTGCGGTGGTTGTGTGTGTGCAGGCATGCATGCTGTGTGCATGTGTGTGCCTTCTCACCCACACACCCGAGATGTTTCTTCTCCCCTTGGGGCACATGCAGGGAAACTGAGGCAGTGAAGGAGGATGAGTGAGGGGCCTGGGCTTAGCAGGGAGAGCTTGGGCACCTTTAGGTGTCTTGGCCTGAGATGGGCACGGAGGCCCAGGAGAGGTGGCGCCAGGCCCCTGGCCTCTAGGTGCTGCCAGAGCTGAGGCCAGAATCCTCGAGTCCCGCACCCCTGCCCAGGCCCCTCTTAGGGCGGCTCCCTTAATCCCCACCCCCACCTCACACACGGCCTCACTGGAAGACGAGGGAGCAGTTCTGCCAGTCGAAGGGGAAGTAGGTGACTGAGATGGAGCAGGAGGAGCGGAAGATGGCGGGCGGCAGCCAGTAGATACAGCCATCAGGGGACACGAGCACATTGCAGTAGAGGGCCACCTCGAAGACGCCGTCCACACTGCGCACAGGCCAGGCCACCACGCTGCAGGAGCAGCCCCCGAAGCCCCAGACCAGCCTTCTGCCCTGCTGCTGACTGGTCCCCAGCTGGAACCACTACATGCCCCAGCAAGCTCCCTGCCACCCCACCACCCTGCCAGGCTCCCTCAGGCCCCACCTCCCAGCCTCTGCTTCTCTTTCTGCCCTTTTCTTTAATGCTAATAACAATAGTGGTAACAACAGCGACAACGTCTGTTAAGCTCTTGCAACATGCCAGGCCCTGAGTGAAGCGCTTTTCATGCCTGTCTTGTTGACCCCTGCTAGCTTCTGTAGGAGCTGTTACAGGGAGGGGAGCAGCCCACCCCTGTGGCCCAGCTCAGAGGGGAGGGAGCCAGGTGCAGGGTCAGAACCCAGGGCCTGCCCCCCCCACCTGCTCTGTCTGGCCTTCCCACGGCTCTGGTGCCTGGTCTGCACCCTCTGCTCATCTCTCTTTTCCCACAGCTGCTTTCTCCTGTCCTGCTGGGCCCTGACCCTGTGTCCTTTGTCCCCACCCCCACCCCCATCACCTGCGTCCCCGCCTCACTTGTTCTCCAGCACGATGTCTGGCAGCCACACCATGGTGGATGGCACCCTCAGCACCCACAGGCCTTCGTAGTCTCCTGGGTCCCAGCGCAGGCGATAGTCGCACCACTGCTGCAGGGCGGGGCTGGTCGCTAGGCCTCCGCCCTCTGCACTGTGGCCCAGGCCTGAGAGTCCAGCCCAGGGGGGCCACAAGGGGCAGGGAGGGGCAGGCAGCTCTCAGGAGGCCTTAGGGCCCAGGGTGGGGGCCCTGATAGAAGGAGGGTGGCAGGGTGGCCTCTTACCATCTCTATCCAGACGTTGGTGGTCAGGGCCTCCTCTCGTTCGTTCTAGGGGTGCAGAATGGAGAGCTCAGCCCCTCATGACTTACCTTCCCCCGGGAATTAGTCCCGGGGAAGGCCGCTGATGGGGCCAAGCAGCTCCCTCCAAACCATGGGAGTTTTCCAGACCCCCAGCCTCTCCCCTGCAGGTCCAGACCCGCCTCCGCCTCCCTCCTGGCTGCCAGAGCGGGCCCTGCCGTCTCCCCAGCAGGTCCCAGAGGCCTGGCGCCTCCTCCCTGCTGCGGCTCACCAGGGAGATGAGGTTGGTGAGGGTGAGCTTCAGGCTGACGTTGACCACATCCGAGTCCCGCTCGGCAGGCCGCAGGTGGGGGTCGTAGTCACGCATCAGGTCTGCGAGCAGGCGTTCCTCCTGGTTCCGGCCCTGCGCCCCTGCAATGGACAGCCGTGAGCCGGGGCAGGAGCTTGGAGGCAGAGAGAGGGGCAAGGCCATGCGAGTGCAAAGTGGAGACTAGAGAGCTGGGCTTGGGCGGGCCCCTATAGCCCCCCAACCCCCCTGTCCCCTGATGCCTTGGACCCCTGCTCTGGGCCTCCCAGGCCCCGATTCCCCTGTGTCCTACCCAGGCAGACGGCCAGCAGCAGCAGGACAAGCAGCAGCCCCCGGCCCCCACGCATGGCGCCTCAGCTCTCTGCAGTGACAGGGAGTGATGACTGCTCTCCTGGTGGGGGCAGACAGAGATGGACTCTGGGTGTCAGGTAACAGCCTGCACTCCCACCCCAGCCAGCCCGGCCCGGCCCCACCAGCTGTCCGACCACAGCATTGTCAGCTGTTTCAGGATGGACACAATGCTGGGCTCAGGTTACCTGGGCCAAGGAGGGGACAGGGGCCCCGTCTGCCCCAGCAGAGACAGTCCACCCTCCATGCCCACTCTCAGACTCAGTTGTCCCAGCCCTCATCTGTTTTCTAGCTGGGGGGCTCAGGACACGCTAGGAACAGCTGGGTGTGGGAGAGAAGGCAGGTCGCTGGGGAAGCTGACCCAGGCTCCAGAGGGGCTGACACCTTCTCGCTCCTCCTGCTCCCTCCAGGGGGTGGGACCTGGGCAGGCGAGAAGGCTGTTGGGTTGGTATGTTTTGTACTTGAGCTTTTCTGTGATGCAGCTGAGCACCCCAGACCTCTCCTACCAGCCTGACATCTGGGTCACTCTGTGGGGCCGTGACATTGAAGGTAGAGTGCCTAGGACAAAGAAGCATGACGGCCGGCAGACTTTGACAGCTTCACACCCATTAGGGTGCTGGTTCCGGGTCCTCTCATGCCCTGGGACAGGGGACACAGACCTGGTAAGCTCTGAAGTAAGGAGAAAGATCTGGAAGTTGGGGCTCTTGAGACTAAGACAGCCCCTGAATAGAGGCTCCTCGGTGTTTATTAAATTAGCCAACCGGCCGATTGTCCCCAGCATGTGCAGACACAGTACGAGGCCAGGGAGACCCAGGGTGAGCCTGAGCTTCCCGTGGAACTCACGGTTCCGTGAGGCAGGTAGACAAGCGTTGAGGCTGTACCCCCAGAGTTAGATGAGGGGCGCAGAGGGAAGGGGAGGGCTGGAAGTGAGCCCCACCCACTTGGTAGTTTGTGGTGGGGAAGGGGTGGGGCGGGGCTGATCTGGGAGCCCAGGGCCTCGCTGCCAGCTGTGGCCAAGGGCTCAGGCCTCCTGCCTTCCAGCCACCTACGCAAAGCAGTCAGTGTGTCTCAGCACGTGGGCGAGACAGGAATCCTGGGTTTTCGTACGTGCCACGCACCCTTGATGCTGCCTCCCGGGGCTGGAGGGAAAGAGCCTGCTCCCTGCAGCGAGGGGAGGCTGCAGCCTCTCCACATGTGCCAGGAAACTGAGGTCAGCTGAGGCACGCTGTCCTGGGAGGCCCAAAGGAGGCTGGCTCAGAACCCAGCCCCCTGCAGCGGGCCTCAGGTCCCTCCTGTCCTGGCCAAGACTTCATGGGGCGCGGGGAGGGGACGGTAGTGGTGCACCTGCCTCCCCCAGTCATCTCTGGCGTTGCCTTCTCTTCTGCTGAGTTACTCTGGGGTGGCTCAGCTGCCATCCTTGCATTCCGTCCTGCTCGGCCCCCACCCCAAAGCATCGCCCTCGTGAGTGTCTCTCGGTGTGGCCCACTGTCCCTGGAGGTCCCACAGCCAGTGTCTCCTCCTGCCCTCAGAGATTCCCTCCCGGCCTCCCGGCCTGGCCCTCTGCGCCCGCCCCCACCACTCAGTTCCCTCTCCCTTCCAGCAGAGCAGGCTCTCTGTACCTCGCTAGTCCCCTCCGAGCCACACTTTGCCAAGGATCATTAATGGCCTCTGTGTCAGGAAGCGATGCCAATCCACGGGCCATCCGTACCCCCCCTTCCCCCACCGACCCCCCTCCCCGCCCCAGGCTGACGCTTTCCTATCTCCGACTTCCGTCCCCACAGGTGTGGCTGGGAAAGGGAAGATTAGGGAGACCCATTTCCCCTCTGGGGCGAATGACGCTGCCTCTCTGTGTGTGCAGAAGTGCTCTCCTGTTTCCTCCTCGGTGCTCACAGCAGGGTGAGTCATCCCTCAGGAGTGGCAGTTTCCTGGCGGGGTTAAGTGTGGAGGGACAGGGCCCGTTAAGAGAAAATCATCTGTAGACATCACTCAGTGTCCAACAGCGACTGCTCCTTTGCTACCTTCTGTTATAAAGGCTGGAAGAGCCAAGTACTCGTCTCCCAGGCTCCTTGCAGACGGGTCACCGATGGGATGCCTGCGGGGGCTTCATGGGAAAGTGTTGCCCCTTTTCTGCCTGAATGTGAAGCACAAAGGGTGCAGCTGTGGCTATCGGCCCACGACCTGGGGCAGCAGGCCTGAGGACGAAAGCCAACGTGCCACAGAGGCTGGGCTGAGCAGGGAGAGCCTGGGTCCCTGGTAGCTTTGCTGGACAGCTGAGCCAACGCGGCCACCTCTGCTTTGAGATTCTTATAACTCGAGTAAAAGGAAATCTGATTTGTTCAAGCTATGGCTCACTGGGTTTTCTGTTCCTTGCAGCCCAACGTATTCCTAACCGACTCATCACCCATCAATAGAGGTGGTCTGGAGAGAGTGGGGGAACCCCCTTTGCTTCCCAGGAAGCTGTCCCTGTGAGTGTGACCTCTGGTGAGGGGAGGGGAGATCGAGTCCCGTGTCAACCAGAGTGGACCGATGGTGGGTGCTGTTAGTGGAAACCGCTGTGAGCTTGAGAGCCTGAACAAGAGGGGCCCTTTGTTGTGTGTGGCATTTGGGGCTTGTCGTGTCTGGAAGGTCCACAGCCGCCTGAGCAGGGCGCCGTGCAGTTGAGGACTCGCGCCCCCAACAACTGGCCTAAAACCCGCTGCCGACAGCGCCACCGTGTGGCCGAGAGAAGCACAGACCACGGTGGAGGATTCAGGCTCCCTCTCATCTCTGCCTGAGACAGGGCCCCTCCTTGCGTTGGCGGACACCTTTCCCCAGGACGTTTTGGACTTTCTGCTCATCTGACAGGAGGGAGTTCAAGCTGGCTTTCCCAGTCAGAGGGGAAGATGAAAGATTTGTGCCTTGAATTTGTGGGCAGTTCATACTGGAAGGCAGAAGTAACAAGGTCAGTTTGGGTTTTGAATAGATCTAAAGATTAAACAAACATCTCACCTTCTTTATAGCTGAGCTAAGGAGGTCACCGATGCGGTCTGAGGGAAATGGGCCGATCCGTGAAGACCCCAAGCCTGTACGTCAAGGAGGTGACTGACGGGGCCCTCTGCAGCCTGTTCTTATCCTCTCAGTCACATGCAAACTCAGATGCAGGGGACCGGGGCATGAGCCCATCTGGGGACCCCCAGAGAGACCCAGCTTTCGTGACCCAAGCCCACAAATGAGGAATGGGTCAAGTAACCACCCCTTAAATTTGCAGGTTGCCCCTTTACTCCTACTAGAAATTTGATTTTCACTGTACCCCACGAGGACTTATCACACGCATATTTTGCTGATGACGAAATTCGAGCTAAGAGGTGAGGAGCGGCTCACCCAAGTGCACACTGCTGGTGTCACAAATTACTCAAAAACCTTGTTGCTTAAAACAATAAACATTTATTCTACCGCATGGCTTCTGAGAGCCAGGCACCCGGGAGCAGCTTAGCTGGGTGGCTCCGGCCCAGGGACTTGGACGGGCCTGCAGTCACGCTGTCTGCCAGGGCTGCGATCTCATCCGCTGGCCCCGCTGGGCTGGGGGAGCCACTTCCAAGTTCACTCACATGACTGTGGGCAGGAGGCCTCAGTTCCTTGCCAGGAAGGCCTCTCCACGGGGCTCTTCCACATGCCTGTTGGCTCCCACAAAGCGAGAGACCCCACCAAGGTGAGAAAGAGTCGTGTCACCTAACCTGGAAAGTGACCCAGGGTCACTTCTGCCTCATTCCATGGGCTGGGGCCACTTTGGAGGGGGGCGGGGCTGTCCCACAGACCCGCATCTCCCAGCTCTTGCAGCCTTGGCACGTGGCCCTCAGGATGGGGTTGAGTGGGGCTCCCTTAGGGGTAGGGTTGCTAGATTTAGCAAATAAAAATATGGGATAAGTTTTAGATAAACAATGAATTAATGTTTAGTATATGTATGCCCCAAATATTGCATGGCAACCCTACTTTGGGGAGCAGGAGTAGGTGGTGAGGGGGGAGCTGTGGAGGGGTGTTGAGTTCTGATGCTCTAGAATTGTGCGTGTGACCTCAGGCTGACCCCGAGCCTCTGTGGGTGCCAGACCTCACCCTTCCACTCCAGCTCTCGGCTTCCCAGAGGGACCCAGACAGAGTGGCCAAGGCAGGAAAGGCTGGGGAGGGACAGTCTGGAACCCTCCTGCTCCCACCCCTGCAGAAAACCTCCTTCCCTCTGCAGCCTGGGCGGAGGGAGGCGCCTCCAGCCTCTGCCCCTAGTGAGGCGGGGTGGCAAGAGGGGGCTGCAGGAGGCAGGGAGGGCGCAGCTTGCCGCCCGCTCTGCAGCACTCTGTGGGGAAGGGGAGGCAGAGCAGAGGCCTCTACCTGCCTGGCCCCGCACAGAGCTCTCCCCCAGCCCAGCCTGAGCAGCGACCCCCTGGCCTGGGGCTAACCTCCGCCTCCCTCAGATCGTCCCTCCCGTCCCTCCTGCTGCATCACTCTCAGACAATCTCGGTGGCTCCTGTCTTTATTTGCCAAGGAACTGCCATCGGGGACTGGGGCTTCTCCCTGCCTTCCTCGGCACCGCCTCAGCCTGAGGGGCACAGCGCAGGGCCAGGAGCCGGCCCTCCTCCGGTGCCACTCCTCCCAGACCCCTTCATCCCGCAGGCCGGCCTAGAGGAAGCGCTTGTCCTGCACGTGGTAGGAGTAGGGGTCCCCGGGGAAAGGCTGGGGCGGGGGCTGGTTGTAGACGCCCTGCAGGAAGATCCAAGCTGTGCCCACCACCATGATGGGCGTCACCACAAACAGGCAGAGGCGGTCCACTGTGCGGGCCACGCGGTTCCAGCTGTCCTTCTCCTGGGGGCAGGGCAGAGATAGGCCCTCGGATCACACAGCCCCCCCCCCCACGCTGCGGCCTGCTACACAGGCAGAGGCTCACGTGGGGGTGGGGTGGGGCTGCCTGGGGCTCACAGCAGACGAGTGCTAGCCGGTCCCCAGCAAGGGACAGGCAGGCGCCTCTGGCCATGCAGGGCTGGCCCCTCTGTTGAGGAGGCAGGTGGGGCCCCAGCCTCCCTCCCACTACATTACTACAGCGCCGCAGAGGAGCTGGGGCCCCGGGGGTGTGTCTCGGGGCTGCTGCTGGCTCACATGTGAACTGGAAGAAAGACGCCCCTTTGTCAAGAGAGAATTTTGAAAATTTGTACAATATTGAATAATCATATATGGTTACTTTCTACTGTCTGGCTCTGTCTGGAGTATCAGGCTCTATTACAGCTGGGCAGGGACAGAAAATGATTGGCAGCTGAGAGAAACTGGAAACTCTAAGGAAGGAGCGGCCTGGACAGGGAGGAGCTGTGTGCCTTTGTGTGTCCCTGAGTATGTCCCTGGCCCAGGGAGCTGCTATGGGGCTCTAGGCAGGAGTTCTGCCTCCCTGGGGGGCCTGGAATCTACACCCACCGTGAACTCCCTCCTCTAAGTTGGTACATGTTTGGGGGGACCGTGCCCTCTTAGGAAAGCATACACTGACTCAGTGCACTACTTGAACGCCTGTACATGGCAGCCCTGTGGCCACTCACCTCATTGTAATTGTTCTGGTCCCTCATGTGGTTAACGATGAAGTTTGCCCCATCCACAGCTGGCTTCAGCTCGCTGAAGAGCTCCTGCTGGGCCTGCTCAGAGCTTGCTGGGGGGCGGCCTGTGGAGTAGAGGCCGGAGGGGCGTGAGGCCTGCCCCGCCCACCTCCCACCGATGGGCCAAACCCCGAGACCACGGGGACCCACGCGCAGTGGTGAGACGCCGGGCCAGCCCGTGCCGCTCTGACTGCTTCTCGAACATGAGGTCGCTGCGGGACTTGAGCGAGAAGTACTCCTCGGCCTTGGAGATGTAGCCCAGGGAGCTGCTCCTCCGGACCAGGGCCCCGCTGCCGGGGCCGTCCTCTGCTGGCCGGGACATGTGCAGGAGCGTGGGCAGCGTCTCCAGGAAGAGCTGTGGCAGGGTCAGGAGGACGCAAGGGAGGCCCATCTTACAGACACGGACTGAACCTCGCACAACTCAACGTCTGCAGCTCCATTCCTGGCTGCCACGCGGCGCTTGCCTGTCATTTATCCCCCAGTCCCCTACCGAGGGACATGCAGGTTTCTTCCAGATCCCCTCACTCCTCACGGCACAGCACAGAGCCCTTCCCTTGGAAATGAATGCTAAAAACGAGAAAGGCAAATGCTCCAAACCCTGGGATCTCTTCCCTCAAATGCCGAAAGCCAGAAAGAGTTGCTAACTACTTCCAGCCATCCCAGAACGGCCAGCGGCCCTGCTGCGGTTGAGGGGCAAGGACAGCCCCCTCCTGGGCACCCTGCCCGGCCCTCACCTGTTCCTTGTACCTGGGGCACAGCAGACACACGAGGGCACGAGCAAAGCTCACGCATATGTACGGCTAGATGGGATTCTACAGATGCATTCAGCTGGGTGATCACCACCCCGGTAAGACAGCGAACACTGTCCCAGAAAGGTTCCCTCGCGCCTCGCGCTTGGTTCCGACCCACACCTAGAGGTAGTCACCAGCCTGACCTCTGTCACCAGCGACTGACTTTGCCTGTTCTTGGACTCCACAGAAGGAAAACGTGCACGTGTGCCGCGGCGTCAAGCCGGGAGCCCGCCCTCTGGGTGCTTCTGCCCTGTGAGCGCCCTGTGCCTTCGCCCTCTGTGCGCGGCCTTGCACGCTGCCCGGCTTTTGGCTGTCGAGGGTGCTCACCTTCCTGACCCCCTCGGACAGCACGTGGGTGCTGGGTGTGCGGAAGTGGACGTTGAGCACGATGACACAGATCACCACGACCATGGTGACCAGCACCATGCCGAAGAGCAGGAACCTGTGGACACACACTCAGCCTGGGGCCTCCGGGGCCAGGCCAGGCGCAGGGCGGGACCGGGCATGGGTGCCACTCACTTGCCGATAAGGGGGATGGCCATGGACGTGGCGGGCAGCCGCTTGGAGATGAGCAGCAGGAAGACAGACTGGGCCAGCAGCACCGAGATGGCCATTGACGTCTTCTCGCCGCCTGGGGAAGCCAGACTTAGCTGTGACCTCGGGGACCCAGGCCCAGAGCGTCACCGCTGGCACCACGGGTCACAATGCCATGATGCCCTGATGAAAGTCATGGGCCATGGAGCTACAGTGCCTGGGCGCAAATCTTGGCTCTGCCACTTACTAGCTGGGTGACCTTTGGCAAGTAGCCTAACCTCTCTGTGCCTCAGTTTTCTCAACTGTTAAATGTGGTGAGACAGTGTGAACTAAACCCATGCCACTCTGCCTGGCACTGGTTAAGTGCTCAGTGCACGCTAGCTGTCACCGTTAGCCCACCTCTGAAGCAAGGATCTGCGTGTGTCACTCCCTGCTCAGAAAGCTCCAGGGCTCCTCAAGTCACCAGGATAGTCCCCAAGTCCCAGCCCTTCCTCAAAGCTCCTGTCCAGCACTGTCCTGCTCTTCCACCCCCGCTCCTGCACGTGATGGAGATAAGGCGAGGGGACCCCCCTGCCTGGCCCCCAGCCTCATCCGCGACGCTCCTCCTAACTCCCCCGCCCGGTAGGTACAGCCCTTCCCCCCAGTCCAGCTCATGTCTGTTCACGCTGCACCTCTTCTGGGCGCCCCAACTCCACTGCACCTGGAAGGCCCCCCACCCTCCTAGTCCTGTGGTTTCCACCCAGTCTGCTGGGGGCAAGGCCTGGGTGGCCTTTGTCCCTGGGCCTCGCTGTGCCCAGCTCACAGTAAATATTCTGAATTTGTAAACCTGTTGCCTCCTGGAGCCAAGCGGGTACCGGCTGGCTTTCTGCCCCCACACCCTGGCTTTCTAGAGACCCGTTGTCCACTGGCTGGCTGGGCAGTGGATGGCCTCCTGTGTGCCAGGCCCACGGTCACACAGTGGTGACCAGGACAGGTCCAGTCTCGCCCTGACAGAGGGACAGTTTAGGGGTTCTTCCTGGGCCCCTTGGGAAGCCTGTCATGAGAGGCAGAAGTACACCCCGGAGGGACCTGCCCTGTCCATTTGGGGATGTCAGATGGGGTCGTAGAGCTCTCCCCGGGGCTGGCCACCTGGCCCTCACACCTGGCCCCTGGGCAGGGAGCTCCAGGAGCTTCTCGGTGCCATGTGCCCCCATGTCACCCAGGTGGCCCCAGGAGGAGGTGGGGGCAGGGCGGGGCGCTGAGGCTCACAGTCGGCCGGCAGGTAGAAGACCAGGTTGATCATGAAGGAGATGAGCACGCAGGGCACCAGGATGTTGATGATGTAGAAGAGTGGCTTGCGGCGGATGATGAGGTAGAAGGTGACGTCCTGGCGGCTGGGGCTGTCCAGAGGGGCGCTGGGGTCCACGTTGACCCTGGCCGGCCGGTGCACTATCTCCCACTCCCCGTTCTCTGAGGGCGGCACACCACACGTGGGGGTCAGGCCAGGCCGGGCCGGGGGTGCCGGGGGCCTCGGGCAGGACGAGGCGCTGGGCAGAGCGAGCGGACCAGAGGCGCAGCCAGCCCCGACTGCGGGCCCAGGGAGGCTTCGTGTCCTGTTGGGGGTGTCTGTCCCTGGGGGATGGAAGTCTCAATCTGTGAGGGGGAAATTTTCCTCTGTGATTTTTTTTTTCTTCTTAGACGAAAACAGAAGCTGGGGCCATACAAGGTTCAAATAAGGAGTATGTTTTGGCTGAGAAGACATCACAGAGGCTGGGCGTGGTGGCTCACGCCTATAACATTAGCACTTTTGGAAGCCAAGGTGGGAGGATTGCTTGAGCCCAGGAGTTTAAGACCAGCCTGGACAACATAGCCAGACCCGTCTCTACAAAAAATAGAAAAATTAGCTGGGTGCAGTGGTGCATGTCTGTAGTCCCGGATACTCAGGAGACTAAGGTGGGAGGATCACTTGAGCCCTAGAGTTTGAGGCTGCAGTGAACTATGATGACCCCACTGTACTCCAGCCTGGGTGACAGAGTGAAACCCTGTCTCAAAAAACAAATAAACAAAATATATATATATTTGTATCATGAGCATGAGCCCAAAATAAGTATGTGTAGATTAAAGAGATGAGGCAAAAAAAAAAAAAAAAAAAAAAAGGGTTCTCAGCCACTGAGCTCATCTTCCTCTGTGAAAAGAAAAGCCAGGTCCACGTTAGTTGAGTGCTCGTCCCAGCCCGGGGCTGGGGGTGGCGAGCCAGTGAGAGTGAAGCTACGCTCTGCCCCCAGGAGGGGCCAGCCCGAGACCAGCGGGACGTGTGTCCCTTCACGGGGTGAGCAGTGAGCCCCACGGAAGATCCGACCTGGCGCAGACGGGAGGCGGGGCGTTGGGAGTGGCGACCTACGCCCCATCAGGAAGACGGCCCACACCCAACCACACCCCCGGGCTCTGCAGGCACAGGAGAGACCAACCACCGCCTCCTCTGTGAGCCACCTGGGTCCCCAGGGACCCCTGCCCAGGCCCGGAAGAGTCTCGTGGCACCTGTGTCCCTCCCTGCCTTTGGCACGTCTTTGCGTGTGGGTGAGTGTGGCGTGTGCTCCTCTGCCTGTCCGTGTCTGGCCATGGGTGCGGGCACCGGGGCACCCCTGGGTGGGGAGGTGTTGGCATGTGTCCATGGCCTGTGTCTGGGGCCTGCCCACCCCCGCCGCGGCTCAGAGCACCTGTGAAGCCCTCAGGGTCAATGATGATCCACTCCACAGGGTAGCTGCGATCCTCTTCCACGTCCTGCTTCAGGCTCAGGGTGATCTCCTTGGCCGTGTACTTGAGGGAACTGGGGAGGGCAGTGGGCAGAGGGGGACCCTCAGCCACTGGCTGGGGCCACAGAGAGGGGAGGGCGGCTGTGGGGGAGGGGAGCCCTAATCGGGACGGGGCAGGGGCTTCTGCCTGCTGGGGCTTCATTCACCTCCTTCCGCCCCTGGCAGGGTGCTGTAGGGGGAGGGGGGCTGGAGAAGTGGGCGCACCTGAACTTGAGGGAGCAGTTCTGCCAGTCGAAGGGGAAGTAGGTGACGGAGATAGGGCAGGAGGAGCGGAAGATGGCGGGCGGCAGCCAGTACACGGAGCCCGAGTCATAGACCAGCACGTTGCAGGAGTAGGAAATCTGGAAGGAGCCGTCATTGCTGGGAGGGAGGGACAAGGACCACAGTGAGCACCGGCCAGCTCGGAACTGGCAGGGTGGGCAGGGAAAGGCCGGGGGCAGGAGCTGGGGGCTCCAGGAAGGGGGTGGAGTGAGGGAGGGCAGGCCGGAGAGGCTGCAGCTCAACTTGTTCTCCAACACAATCTCTGGGAGCCACAGCATGTCGGGGGGCAGGCGCAGGACACTGATATTCCCAAATTCTTCGGCATCCCACTTCAGCCGGCTGTCTGTCCAGCCCTGGAAGCCCAAAAGGCACGTCAGCAGTGCACTCTGCTGCTGCCCGGCGTCCCTCACTGCCCCCCACCCCGCTTCCCTGGGGGAAGACTGAACGGGGTCTGGTTGCTGTGATGAAAGAGGTTTTGGGGGAGGCAGGTACAGAATGGGGGCTCAGGTCCATCATGGACAGCAGTGTAGGATGCTCACTGTGCAACTAAGGGAGCATTATTTCCACTGTGGGCACAGAAAATTTGTGTCTATATTATGAACTTCTGACAGGTGGCAGAAGAATATTTTCTAGTAAAAAATCAGGATACGGTGACAATTTTCCCCCAGATGAATCCTAAGCCACTTGAAGGCACCGTCAGGGCTGGGGAGGGCACCAGGTGGGGGGAAAGGAGTTGGGGCTGGGGTTTCTCTGTAGGGAGGAACCAGCTGCTCCTAAAGGACAGCATCCAAGGCAGGCTGGGGGTCCCTGAGCATGGGGGAGCCCGGGCCCGCGCGGGGCATTCTCCTTACGTGCTCTATCCACACGTTGGTGGTGAGGGTCTCCTCGACTTCTTTCTGTAATCAGACAGGCGGGCCGTCGTTCAGGGCCTGCGCCGCTCTTCCACCTGCGCATGTTCGCGGGCGCCCACTCCCGGCTGGCACCCAGGGCAACCAGGGCAACGGGGCCTCCGGCCTGCTGCCCTGAGCACCCGGTCAGGAGTGGGTGGGCAGGCCAGGCGGCAGAGAGGACCGATGGCCTCCGAAGCTGTCGTGAGTGTGGTGTGGCACGGGTGTGGCGGGGGGGGGGCACACCCAGAGCCGGAGCAGAAGGGGAGGGCTGGAGAGCTGCTCGGGCCTGTTTCCAGGCAGGGGAGCGACCTTAGGCCGGTGGTCTTGGTCCTAGGGAAGCCGTCCCTGGCCCGTCCCCAGCCCAGCGCGGGAAGGGCCTCTCACCAGGGAGATGAGGTTAGACAGGGTGAGGGCCAGGGAGACGTCCACGCGCTCCTCTTTGTGCGCCACGGGCCGCAGCTCCTTGTTGTAGCCCCTCTCTTGGAACAGGTGCCGGATCAGCCGCTCCTCCTCGTTCAGGCCCCAGCTTCCTGGGGAGGGTCGGGGAACGAACAGGGCACTGGGCAGGGGACCCAGGAAGGAAGCTGCCCTGAGGTCCTGCGGGACCATGGGGTTGGGCCAAGCAGGGATGTCCGACCACTACCCTGGGCACGGGACCCCAGAGGTTGGCCCCTCATGGGGGGAAATGGCAGCGAGGGGGTGGGGAGGTCACGAGGAGGGAACGAGAGGGGACCATGCAGTGGGCGGCCTGGGTGGGGGTCACAAGGGACCCTCAGGGCGGGGACGATGTCTGCCCTTACCACACACGGCCAGGGTGGCCAGCAGCCCCAGTGTCAGCGCAGGCCCCTCCATCTTGTCTCTCAGACTGGGCCGCACACAGGCCCCTCCTGCCCACAGGGCTGCAGAGTGAGGGTGGGGGGAGCTGACAGGTGCGGGCTGGGGGCGGGGCAGTGGGAAAGGCAGCCGGAAACACAGCCCGACACCTCGGGCGGGGAGGGGGGCTGGCCAGCCAGGGCAGGAGCCCAAGATCCCAGGCTGGGCAGTGAGGTTGGGGGTTGGGTGGAGACACCGGACACCGGTAAGCCACGGGTGGGGGTAACAGGCAGGCCAGCTGCTGCCACTTCTTGGGAGGCAGAAGATATGCTCAGATGGGGCTTCCCGTCCCCTCTGCCGCATCTCTGTGACCCCTGCCAACTGCTTCCAGACACTGGGCCCTGCCTGGGCCCCACCCTTGAGATTAAATGTCCACCCACTGGGCCCCATCCCAAGAAAGCTCCAGAGTCATTTCTGTGGATTATAAATAATATTTATTAAAGCAGCTGTGATTCTCTGATCGAAAACCTGGGAAGACACATGGGGCCCAGGACCCCCGTCCCCCCCCACCCGCACATACGCAGCCCATTGTGGCAGTGACAGTTTGTCATGTTCCCTGAACCCCTCTCAGCCCCTGGAAGCAGTAAGTCTTTACCAGGGTGAGGCGTCCAGACATGGCTCATGGCTGCCTGGCTGGGGGGATCTGGGGGCTGAGGGGGTGCTGCCCCTTCCTCCCCAGCCCCAGCCCCTGCCCCGCAGCCATCTGGGGTTCCTCAGGCTCCCCTTCTGCCAGGGAGGCCAAGCGGAAGGCCTGCAGGGCCTGTACCAGCAGCCGGGGGAGGCTGCGAGCCAGGGTGGCCGGCTCCAGGCCCACCAGGCCGCTGAAGACCACATGGCGGCCCCCCAAGCCTGCCCGCACCCAGGCTCTGAAGAGCCCGGTCAGCGTCTTGGAGCCCAGATCTGCCAGGACCTACAGAGGGAAGAGGGGGTCAGGGGCCCAGAAACTCACTCCTCTCTTCCTGGACCTGAGAAACTCTCCCCTAGACCCATTCCCCTCCCCTCCCCCCACACCCCTGCTCATTTCCTGCTCACTCAGACACCCCCAGCCCCTCCACTCACACCTGCCCACATGTCCCCCAAGCTGCCCAGCTCACAGGCAGCAGCCCGCCCTCCCACTCCCTTCCCCTGGGCCCTCTACCCTCCCCAGAGCTGGGCAGAGGCAACCCCAGGCTGCTGGGGGGAAAACTCCTCCTCCTGCTGTGGGGTGGGTGCCCCCCTTCTCCCCCACCCATCAGAGCTGTACGCTCTGCACCGTCTCTGGCCTGGACTCTAGCCAGGTTGGCCTTCCCAGGCCACTGAGAAGAAGTCTGGGACCTGGGGACCTACCTCATGGAAGTTCATGGCCAGGTGCTCTGAGGGAACCTGCAGGATCCAGGCATGAGCCCGCTGCAGGGCGGCCAGCTTCTGTCGCAGGGGCTCCAGCCCAGGGCAGCCTGCGGGCAGGGAGGGGCCAGGGAACAACCTAACTAACCTCTGTAGGGGCTGGGGCTGGGACTCCCACCAGTACCTCAGGACAGCCCCAAACAGGGGACTTATCCTCCTCATGCTACAGATGGGGAAACTGAGGCTGAGAGATGTTAAGCCATAACACCAGGCAGAGTATCTCTGTTTGACACTGATGAGAGCCCAAAGCCACAAGTCCCCCCAAAGAATCATCCGTTCTACTGGGGGAAGGAGGAAAGCGGGTCTCCCTGTTGCCCGGTGTCATGAGTGTTTCCCAGCGCAGCGCCCTGGAGAAGACCCTCCTGGCCTCTGTCCGGCGCTTGCCTTAGTCCCCTCCCCAAAGTCGCAGGGGGCGTCGTTACCGGTGGCTTCCCCGCGCTGCTCTGGCCTCCGCTTCGGGAACCGTGCGCCGGCAGCCCGCGATCCTGGGGAGGCGCAGCGTTAGGGGACCGCCTAGGCCCGGGAAAGTGGCTCCGCTGCGCAGGGTGGGGCCAGGCGGGGCCTGGGCTGGGCTGGAGGGCGCTGGGTACCTGAGTGCAGCCGCAGCTCGCGGGCGAGGTGCCGGGGAGACTCCCGGGGCGACGGAGCGGGGCGAGCCAGGGCGGGGACCAGGCGCCGCAGCCCCGGGCGCGGGCCGAGCAGCTCCTGGGCGTTCCGCAGCAGGCCCAGCAGCGTGTGCGCCAGCGAGCGCAGCTCTGCGAGCGGGACAAGGGTCGGCGCGGCGGTCAGGGGTGGGCCAAGCCAGCTGCCCCGCGCCCAGGCCCCAGGGAACCCGACTGACCACATCGCCGCCGGCGCTGCAGGCACTGCTGGTGCGCCAGGCGCGCACAGGCGCCCTCGGAGCCCCGGCACAGGCGCGCGTAGAAGGCGCAGAGCCGGGCGGGGTCTGCCGGTAGCTCCTCGCGCGGGTCCCAGGCCAGAAGTTCCCTGCAGCTGGGCTCGCGGCTGGAGGCGGCTGCTGCGGGCGGGACAGGGGCCAGTTTACCCCTGTTTGGGGCCCCAGACCCTGCCCCAGGCCCCTTCCCCAGAGGGAGACAGGCTTTTCCATAGCAGAAGGGAGCTGGGGGCGGGCCCGGTGGAAACGACTTGTCCCAGCTAGGTGCGCGGACGCTCTGGGGAGGAGAGCATTGGAAGGGTGTGCTCACCGCTCATCTGCTCCTGGAGCCAGTCCTTGAACACTGCCACCCGGGTGTAGACTCCCGGCTTCCCTGGCTCCCCGCAGCCATCCCCCCAGGAGGTGACTCCAAACAGGACCTCCCTGGGGTGGGGGCCGGGCTCAGAACAGGTCAGGGGGCCTCCAGAGTCACCCTGTGGGGCCAAGAAAGAGGAGACTGCATTCACCTGCCCCCTGTTATGCCTGCCTGGCACCTGGCAGGTTAAGGCAGCTGGGAGCTCCTCTGTGGTTACCACTTGTATCCATTTTAGCCATGAGGACATAGCTCAGAGAAGTTGAGTGATAGCCGGGCCATGTAAGGAAAGGAAGCCATCCTGTGCCTGGGGAACGGCTCAGGTGGCACCCCGCTCCATCAATCTGGGTTCATACCTGGCATGAGTCAATGCCCCCCGCCAGGTAACCAGCGCAGAGCATGGTGCTGGGGCGCAGCCCGGGTCCCAGGGCCCTTCTGCAGGTGTCGGCACTGAGCAGGGGAACTCGGGCCTCCCTCACTGCCTCAGCCTCCGGCCCATCTGCAGGGAAGGGGTGGAAGGAGGGGCTCGGGTTTGGAGGGCAGGAGCCCCGCTGTGGGGGTCCCCTTCCCACTGCCCTCCCTGAGTCCTCCCCCTTTGCAAGACCTGGCAGCATTTTGCAAGGCAGCTGGGCCTCCCCAAACTCCATGTCCCCATTCTTCCCACGTGGGCGCGGCTCACCCAGGCCTGCCTAATACCTTCGAAGAGGGCCCCCCAGCCCGCGATGGCGCAGGCGGTGCCGGCGGGGGGCTCCCGGGGCTCTTGGGGCAGGCACACTGGGCGCGCGGGCCCCGCCGGGCTCACCGGCGTCCACAGCTGCACCAGGGCCAGGTCGTTGTGGAAGGTTCGCGGGTCAAACTGAGGAGAGGGTGGCGGCGCAGGGTCAACAAGGCGCGCGCTGGGGGTGCTGTTCCCAGCTCCGAGGCCCTGGGGACTGTCCTCTCACCTTGGGGTGGGGTAGGATGCGGTTCACCGGCACCTCTTCCGCTTGCTCCCCCCGGGGCCCCTCGGCCAACGTCACAGTCCACAGAAGCTCATTCGGGGCGCTGCGGGGCGAGCGGCGGGTGATACGGGGAAGGACAGGGGCGCAGCGACGCCCGCGGGAGACCCCGCCCCTCTGCCCTCGGGCACCACCCAGCGAGCTCGAACGCCGGGCTCTCTCCACCTGCGGTAGGACCGGCGGGCCGGGCGAGGGGGGGGGCGAATGCTCGGCGCGGTGCCACCGTTCCGGGTGGGCACCCTGGCTGTGCGGGTGCGGGCGCCTGGAGGCCGGGGAGCCGGGGAGCCCGGGCCGGCCGCCGCCAGGGGGCAGCAGAGACCGGCTCTCCCGCGTGTCTTCCGCCAGACCGCCCGCAAGGTGCTGCACCTGGCGTTGGGGCCCCGGGCTGGGCAGGGGTCTGGGGGCCCGACGTACCCCGCAAAGCAGTGCGCCGCCGTGAGCACCCAGGACGCCGCCACCAGGACGCCGCCGCACAGGGGCTGCCCGCCGAGCTGCAGCCTCACCAGCCAGGGCCAGGCCCCGGGCGGCGCCGCGCTGCCCCCCACTATGCGGCCGTGAGCCCTTGTCACATTGGCAGTGCTAGGGCGCCTCTCGCCACAGGGCCCTAGAAAGGCGCAAGCGGTGTCACGAGGGACAGTTCTGGCTGTCCTCACCATGGAAACCCACCCTAGACCCACCCTGTCCTCACCCTGCCCCTCTAGCCTTTTCAGCCTCACCTGGCTCAGGTGGGTCCTGGAGGAGGGGGGCTTGAGGCCTGGAGCGCCCAGGTCCTGCTGAGAAACAGACCTTTGAGTATAACTGCCACCCACTTGCCTGTCCTCCACCCTAGGCTGGGCCTGAATGCTCTGTCCCCCCACCGCTCCCCCTGTCCCCACCCTCTAGCTCACAGATTCTGTTTCTGCAGCTGAGAACGTCTCACGGGTCACATGGCGAGCCCAGGCTGTTTCTGCCTCCCTGCCTTTGCACACGCTGCGCCCCAGCATGGCATGCGCTTTCCACTCGGACAGGCCTCGATAAGCCCAGTCTTCTTGCAGCCCCACCGGTCTCTCCCCCAGGAGGGGAGTCAAGTCCCAAGGGAGGGCATGGGGATGGGGACGGAGAGGAGAATGGGCCCAGGGCAGTGAGTGCAGGTTCCCTGGGCCTAGGGGTGGCATGTGGGCACAACCTCGGCATTCGTGCGCTGTGTGCTGGATCTCCATCACCACTCGGTTAACTGCCCACTGGGCGCTCCGCTGGGCCGCCTGCAGCGCCTGTGTCCCCTGGGCCGACAGAACTGCTGGGACATAGGGCACAAAACCACGCATGGTTGGGGAAGAGCCTCAGTCTGGTCCTGGTGGCCCAGCCCTCAGCCCTGCCATGGGAGACCCTGGGGGAGGCAGGCAGGGCTCCCAGAACTCGGGATGGAGTAGGGAGGAGAG